AAAAAAAAAAAAAAAAAAAGGAAAGGAAAGAACCTAGACCAATGAACAGATCTAGTCCTTCATTTAAAAGACCCCACTGAATGTTGATGAAGGATGAACACATAACACAGATGTCTGCAATGCAGTGAGAAGCGGAGAGAAACAGTTCATGTTAAAGGATGCACTGGGGCTATCCCTCCTATATAGGAAGGATATAGGATATAAGATATTGTCTTCCTATATCCCTCCAAATGCATGATTTTCAAGAGAAGTCCATATATTCCTTAATATAACTATAGCCCACTTAGTTCTTTCAGAAACATGACAAATCTCTCAGGGTTATCCTCCTTTTGATTAGTAAATGGGGCAGTCCCAGAGGGATAAGATGGATATGGCCTGAGTCTCAACCCTGATGAATACTATCAGCAGCTTGCAGGAAATGAATTCCTTAAAATATATCCTTTTGTAGATTTGTTGAGGCCATTTCTAGACTTATAGTCTTGAACTAAAGACTTAGATCTCAAGGCATTCAGGCAGTCTTATAAAATGTGCAATCTGTAAGAAACATATAGTTAAGCCATCTAACATATATTATCTCCAAAACTTCTATAATGAAACAGATCTCAAATTATCATGACATACTCTGATCTGTCATGACTTTCCTCCAAATACTATATTTTGCTATTTTTTTAAACAGAGAAACATGACTGTTGATTCACAAAGAAACTTTTTTATCACCCTTCTAGAAACAATATCCCTAAACTTCACTTTCATAATAGGATAAGAAATAAAACATATTGTTGTTCTCTCCATTGTTTACAAAATAGCAAATAATTGTATTATAGAAAACAAAAGTCATTGTACTGTTTTGAATTTTTTTTACCTCATTAGAGATGTCTGTTCCAGAGAGATCTATTGATACCAAGGAAAAGATGTTTACAATATATCCAATTCCTTGGGCTGTCAAATGGTCACAATTTCGTAAACTCAAGTAGTTTAAATTAGGGCAGCTAAAAGAAAGTAGCATGAATTAATTTTAGCTGTCAATCATATTGTCAGTAAGCAATTTCTTCATATAAAAACTCTCTTGGGAAAACAAATGGTATCGAAGCAAGGATTTTCCTTTACTCAACATAAAAGTAAGACTAAAAGTAAAAAGTAATTTGACATTACAAAGCTGGATGAAAGGGCAGTAGATTATTATATGACTTTCTGTAATTTAGTTTCATATTGTGACTTCTACAAGGAAAAAATATATCACATACATACAAAAACTATCATGTAAGTACCACAATGAATGACCTCTAAAAGTGCAAGTTAAGATCCCTATTTATCCCTTACAAGTGTGCCACAGGAATTGTACAAGACCTCTGACAAGAGGGGAGTCAAGAATAAAGTAACCAGCCAGAATACCCCTTGGAAAATGCTGGAGTAAAGATAATCTCCTTGAAAAAGTAGATTAGAGATAATCTCCTTGAAAAAGTACAGCCACTCATATCTAGATATTCATTATTTCAGGAATGACTCCATCTCAGATGTAATTTAAATATAATAATATAATTTAAAAATTGGTCCAATCTGTGACTTCCTATGTCTTTCACATGGTTTCACTGAATATTTAACCAGCTTCTGGGCATCTCTGATGTTCCCCCCAATATCATGAAATCTTTGCTTTTAGGTGTCTCATTTCTCCTATTATCAAATATATAATTACTAATGATATGATATAAAAGACTGTTTTATCATACCGCTCAGATAGTTTCATAACAGAGGCATCGCTTAGCCGCACGCAGTTGCTTAAATTTAGCTCTCTTATCCTTATGCTTGCAGGACCATCAAGAAATTGCCTTAGCCCCATATCACCAATTCTGTAGGAAAGAGTGAGAAAAACTTTACACGTGATTCTATATATAAACATATAGAATAGTATTAAAGTAATAGCTACCATACCCAATACAGTTCCAAAATACCAAGGTAATATCTATACACTGGTATTTTGTCAATATTTTAAAATTAAATTTGATTATATAGATTTTAATGTAAGAAAAAAGTAGAAATGAGAGGAATGGGAGAAGTATTAATTAAAATGTTATTTCTGTTCCTTTGTTCATAATTTTTAATAAGACAGATGGCCCTCAAGATCTTTTTCTCTTGGGTTAAAATGTGATCAAGTTAAGTAGTCCCTGATACCATTTCCTGCAAAAGAAAAAGATCAAAACTTCGAAGAGTGAGAACCAAGACTAACAGTCAAACTACTGCCAGGATTTTGGAGAAATTTTCACTAAACACAAGGTCAATTTGCTAGACAGGAAACCCAACATGGGCCCTTTGGCTTCTTTCCTTCTGAAAGACAACCTGATGCTGGAAGAAGACCTTGACCTCAGCCTTCCCACAATATCCTAATCAGAAACTTCTGTGTGTCAGTGCCATACCCCTACCATGTTGATCTTGCTTTATAAATGGCTGGATGTTCGTTTGGCCCATTAGTTCCCTGCCTTCCATTGGAATCTTCATTTCTAATTCCTTTTGAGAACCACCAGATCCTTCTAGGAAGCATTTCAGGAAATAAAGCAGGACAGGAGTTTCCACCAATGCAATCCTAAGAGGCAGTTTCACAACAGCTCTACAGGTGGGCATACAGATGGGAAGAACATTGGGAGCAAAACATGCTGATTGCTGACATCCGTTACACCCCCTGTTGGTTCAGATTTGCAAAGAGCTGAGCATTAAAGACAAAAGATATCCTGTTTCAGCTGAATGAGCCATAGTAAGTGGATGCCTGCTGTGCCTATCAACCCACCTTCCACCTGTAAGAGGGGGAGTGTGCCAGCACCTAGGAAAGCAGCTAAGGGTGTGTGTGTGTAGAAATTCATATTATAGTCAAGAAAGGATTAAAAGTCAATGGAAAAGATTATTGAGGTAATGATCCAAATTAATTGGTTAATGCAGTTAGGGCCAAACCTGGGTGTGTATCAAAAGTATCCATGCTGGGTTTTTTTTTTTGTATTTTTCTTTTTTTAAATACACAAGCTGGGGTTTCAACCCTAAAGATTCAGACTCAATAGCTCTGAAGTGGGGCTTGGGAAACTACAGTTTTTGTTTGTTTTTTGTTTTGGAGACCAAGTCTCACTCTGTCACCCAGGCTGGAGTGCAGTGGTGCGATCTCGGCTCACTACAAGCTCTGCCTCCCGGGTTCATGCCATTCTCCTGCCTCAGCCTCCTGAGTAGCTGGGACTACAGGCGCCTGCCACCATGCCCGGCTAATTTTTTGTATTTTTAGTAGAGACGGGGTTTCACCATGTTGGCCAGAATGGTCTCGATCTCCTGACCTCGTGATCCGCCCGCCTGGGCTTCCCAAAGTGCTAGGACTACAGGCGTGAGCCACTGCGCCCGGTGGGCGTCTATAGTTTTATTCAGCTCCTCACGTGATTCTGACACCTTAGGATTTTTACTTTTAAATTCTTTTAAATATGTATTTTTAATTTATCTTTTTGTTGCTGATTCCTGAGTTAATTGCTTTGTAGTGAGAGAATATCATTTGTTGATAAAAATAGTTTGAAAGTTGCTGGAACTTGCTTTTAAACTTTGTTCATGGTTGATTTTTTAAAGGATTGATGTGTGTTTGAGAAAAACATATATTGTTTTAACTCTCCAACTTACTATCTTAGATCTAACTCTTATATATACATTTTAAAACCTTAAAACTCTGATACTTGTTAGGCAGGAATCTAGACCCAACATGGCGGCATTACCCGGCGTAGCAGGCCTTTCGTTGAAGACTCCCTTCACCCTTGTACACACCCGCAGACTTACATGCGTCAGAGTTCCGGCTGGGCAACCACACTCCCCCATGACCTGCAGCTCACCTGCATTCCACAAGTTCGTAAATAGCAGTTTCAGTTAACAGTTTCCAAAGACCCCTTCCTCATGACCCTTACTCAACTCCTGCCCTAGTAGTTTCAAGACCCCCCCAGGCCCTGTTTGCACAACCAGCTTCCCTACCTCTCAGGCTATAAAAAGCCCCTATCCTCCTCCCTCAGCGCGACTTCCTTGGCCCACGCCTTTGGACCGAGGAACCTCGCCCACGAGTCCTAATAAAAGCTATTCTCACTGCTGTTTGCCTTGTGTCTTCGTTCCCGGTTCAGCTCCAGCCTCAGTTTACCTTTACATTTGGTGCCGAAACCCAGGGGGAGACCCCTCCCTGGACCCCTGCTAAGTCGGGCAGGCTCTCCTCTCCCCGAGCCAGGATCCCCTCCTCAAGCCTGGAGGACTCAATTCGATCACTGCTGGGTAAGTTTTCCCCCCGTTCTGAAGGTTCCCTCCAGGAGTCCCTGTCCGAAATGCGCGGCCGTGTCAGGGGCTCTCTCCGGTCAGCTATGACCTTGGCACTGGGGACTAGGAGACATCCAACCTCCCTGAAAGCCACCGTACCCCGCACTCCACGTGGCAGTGAGAGGACGCTCCCATTGCCTCCGGACTGCCCGCCTTGAGACCATAGGAACTACCCAGTCCAAACCATACCAAAAATCTCCTCTGGGGTGCCTCTTGGCGAATCTCCAGACTTTAAGTCTCAGCCAAGACATAAAACGAAAGCGGCTCATTTTCTTCTGCACAATAGCATGGCCGCAATATAAACTGGATAATCAGTCTCAGTGGCCTGCAGAAGGCACTCTAGACTTTAACATTCTCACAGATCTGACCAACTTCTGTAAGAGACTAGGCAAATAGTCCGAGATACCCTATGTTCAGGCCTTCTAGGACTTGCGTTCTCGCCCAGACCTCTCTGCCCGATGTTCGTTGGCCCAGGTCCTGCTCGCGAAATCTACTCCCTCAGCCAAGGAGAAGGACAACTCTTCCTCCTTCTCTGAGCCTCCTGACACTCTTTCCCTGCCTCCTCTTTGGCCCCCCACTCAACCCCCTCCTTACCCTAACCCCTCGTTGTCCCCATCCTCGTCGGCACCACCCCTTCCCTCTACCCCTTCTGTGTCCCCACCAAACCTGACAGATCCTGCCTCTCCTACCTCCACCTCCTCCCCTTCCTCACCTGTCTCAGCCCATACTCGGTCCAGGACCGACCTCCTGTGTCCCTTA